CCCAAAATCTGTTGCTTAGAAGCATCCAGGGCCCACGTATGAGCACATGGAAATTTTGGCGCGGAAATCACTAACCGGGAACGAAAAAAGTTAGAAAGCTGAAATTTTACGGGAATTTTCCCTAATCATGTGCAACCAAAATCAGTTGTTTAGAGACACCTGAAAACCACGTACGCTACATGTGAAAGTTTTGGCGCGCAAATTACTAACTCGGGAACGGGGAAAGCTAGAAAGCTGAAACTTTGTTGCTGGGAACGGGATTTACCTCGCCACCCTCATTAGAGTAGTGTTCCCTACTCATATGCGAGCAAAATCAGATGTTTAGAAGCACTCGGGGCCCCCGCACGGGCACGTGGAAGTTCTGGCGCAAAAATCACCAACTCAGGAACGGGAAAAGCTAGTGTTCCCTACTCAAGTACGAGCAAAATCCGGTGTTTGAAAGCAACCGGGGCCTACGTACGGCACGTGGAAATTTTGGTGTGAAAATCACTAACCCGAAAACAAGAAAAGCTGGAAAGCTGAATCTTTAGGGTAATGTTCCCTACTCATGTATGACCAAAAGATTTCAAATCCAGCTCCTTAAAACCATGCTCTGAACGAGGACCTGCCCGGTACTCGGGTACGGACAGGTGAAAATTTTGATGGGAACAATGCTAATTCGGGAACGGAAAAAGCTGAAGGCATTAATTTCAAGGGAATGTTCCCTACTCATGTGCGACTAAAAGATTTCAAATTTAACTTTTCTAGTGCGGCATTTTTCGCGGACCAGCAAATTTCCATTTGTCGGGTCACTGAAGTCAACATCTACAACTGACATACCACATGGCTGTACAATTAACTTCCCGAACTTCGAGGGCCAGTATTTCACAGGGTTAGCTATTTTGATTCCCTGCGATCTTGCTATGGTACGAAAAGTGCAAAAACGCATAATCGCACCAGCCCGCCTGCTGCGTTCCAGCCTGGGTTGTTTTCTTTATGCTGCACGTAAAAATAAAGCCTCTTGCTAGCCAGCTCGCCATAAACGACCATCACGCACACATAAGTGTCGCATCTTTACTCTATGTTAATATTCGTTTTGTCTTCTGAAGGGATTGCCACCTCAGTAGTTTCTCCCCACAGTACACTGGGTAAAGCTTTGACCGTTTTGGAATGTCTTAAGTTATGTGCTGAGCATTACTGCCTTATTTCAAAAACGCTGCCGTCACTGTTGTACCTCAATGAGTTAACCTGTGGCGTAAGAGTAGGTAAAAAAGTTTTATTTGTATATTGAGAAATAATTTTTTTTTAAAAAAAAGCAAAATTTATCAGTAAATCTAAGTGCCAAGTTAAAAAATAATACAAATTTTTTATTAAAAAGTAATGCAGGGATTTTTGTTTAAATGCGACAGAATGGTGTACTGTTCTTCGGTCGAAGTTGGAATCGCTTCGTAAGGCTCTTGATCTGGTTTATACACACCAAAAAGTATCGTTGCTATCAGCTGATTGTACATTGAGTTTATTGGAAGTGCTATGTGGCTTTGAGCCTGATTATAATCATTACCTGAAAAAGTGTGCGTTTTTGTCGAAAGTCAAACATCATTTTTTCGTGTTCGCTTTCTCTGAGAGGCTGAGATACCCGGAAAGTAGCCCAATTGGTAAACACCCTTCTCGACGACCTGCCCCATCCTCCCCCCGTTCCCCTTTCCAGGATTGCTCAGAACCTTGTTTTTTAACTTACAACGAGTGCATCGGAGTTGTTCTTGCAAATTCATGAATGAAAAAGCGATCGCAACAACTGTTGAATATAAGTAGATGAAGTCGATCTGTTGATTGAGAAGTCCACAAATGAGGCAAAAGAATGTGGCAGAGCCAATTGGAATGAGTAGAAATTTTCGCCGATTGTTGTGCACTTTTGAACAGACAAACTGCAATCACGCGAAATCAAAAGCCGAACCAAAAAAAAAATTTTGCATTACTGTTAAACGGTGCAAGTGGGAGATTTGTCAAAGTCAAATTTGTCAAAATCAGTACCCGTTTCCTTTAAGAGTTCCAGAAGTAGCTTGAGTAACACCTAGTACTAATAACAACCACACGCTGGTCCCCTTCTTTTGGTGATTGCTTAGAAGCAAGCTGATGGTTGGATTGTTTTTTTAGCATAAATCAGTACCAATTTACCATCGAAATGAATGAGCAAATTTTAAACAGACTGGCTGCCCTTGCGGGGGATCGAATCCACGAGCTAGTGCACGACAGCGTTTTTATTTCCCACTATGGCATTTAAAGTTAAGGTAGAAAATGAGAAGGAAAAGGAAGGAGAACGAAATGAAAAAGGGGAGGGGGAGTATCTGCTCGCCAAAGATTAATACTGAAGTAAATGTTGACTCAAAACAGCTGAAGTGCTATTCTTAGTGAAAATTTGTTTTCCGAACTTTCATCAAAGTTTTTCTTGTTTAACACAGAGGCTCGGTATTCCTTTCCCGAACTAATTAACTCATTTCAGAGTAACTCA